TCCTCCTCCTACTCATACCTCCTTCTCCCGACCCCCCTCCCCCCCCCCTGTCCACAACCCGCTCTCCGAACGCTCCCCTCTCCCCACACACCCTCTCCTCAACCTCCCCCCTCTCCTCGCACCTCTCCTCTCCCCACGCCTCCCTCTCCACTCCTCCTCTTCCCGCAGGCGGCCCGCCCGCTGCCCGCCCAATCTGCAGTCAAATCTTCAGTCACTCAGTTGGCTCATGCTCCATCACTCAGGCCGTCCGCCCGCTTCTCGCCCGGCTTGGCGCGGTCGGCTCGGAGCTGCTTTCCGGCGGCGGCGCGGCTGGCGGCGGCGTCATCGCCGGTCACTCTCGGCTGCTGCGAGAGCTGCTGTGGGCTTTCAGCACGGGCCAGGATGCGGCACGCTTGTCCGTGCCCCTCGCCCTCGGCGGTGGGAGCGGCGGCGTGGTCGCTGGCCTCCGGTGGGACGGCGGCGCGGCCGACGGCGCGTGCGCCTCCCTCGCATCGGAGCACACCAAGTTGAGCAACTGCGGCGCGGCCCCCCTCGACCTCCGCGGGCGAGGCGTGGACCGCGTCTGTTCACGCCTGCAGCTGTGAGCAGGCGTCGTCTCCTTCGACCTCGTGCTTGAGCGGCCCGTCGGCGCGAAGGCCACCCTCACCCTACGCGGCTGCTCGGTCGACGGAGTGGTCACGTCGAGGTCCTTGCCGGCGGGGCAAGACACGCCGGGCAGCGACGCGCCGGGCGGCGACGCGCTTGGCCACCAACCACCCCGCGTGTGGCCTTGGCGAGGCGAGACAGCCGCCGCCGTCTCCGCCGTGCCGCTTCTGCTCTGCGGACTCGTCGCCCTCTGCGGAGTCGTTGCTGCGCGGCGGCGGCAGAGGCGGAAGGCCGCTTGAGACGGGCCAAGTGTATTTTTTTGCGTTGAAACGACCGTCTCTGGCGGTTTCACCTTGACCCTCAGAAAAGCTCGCATGCACAAACGTACGGCTTTACACGTTTACGCATACCCCTTTTAGATTTAGTGTGAAAGGAGTTTTGTCCACTGAGCGAAGTGGCGGTGGCCGGTGGACATGCTCCCATGGTCGACTCCCATGGGTGTCGAGGCGGCGCCGGAGTGGCTGGCGCTGCTCGCCGCGACCACGACGGCTACTCTGATGCTCTCGGGGAGGGTCGGGTGTGAATTAGGCGATTAACAGGCCGTTGCGTGCGTCCCCTCCGTCACCCCGGGGGAGGTTTTGGCCTTTGCTGCGCGACGAGTGGAAGATGACGCGCGGAGGTCGCACATTGTATCTCGTATGTGCTTGGGCGATGACGTCCGTTGTCGAATCCAAGCACTGCACGCGGGCAGATGTGCTGGGAGCTGGGTGGACCTGGAGCTTTGACCTCGCTGGGTGCTCCACGCTGGAGATCAGAGACGGACATGAGCCGCTCGGAGCACAAGCTCGACACCGCCGCCTACCGCTCCGGTGTCATCCGCGCGCTCGTAGGGGTGGACGCGGGGAAGGCGCTGGCGCGTCGGGTGTCGCGGTGCGAGGCGGCGGCGGCGGCGAAGAAGAAGAAGAAAAATAAGAAGGAGGAGGAGGAGAAGGAGAAGAGCAGCGAGTCGGCCGGGGGCGGCGGCGATTTGCTGCGGCGTGTCGAGCGGCTGGAGGCCAGCCTCAGTGCGGCGACCGAGTCAAGGCCGGCAGAGGTCACCTCACGCGATCTGGAGTGCTACTCCGAGCGCTACGCTGACCTCAAGTCCATGCAGGGCGATCTCGCGCGGCTGAGGAAGCACTGGAAGCAAAAAGGACAGTCTGAGGGACGAACGATGGGCTGCTCCATGACCGTGGAGCAGGCCACCGCCCCGCCGCCGCCGCCTCCTCCCCGCCGCTCCCTCGAGGAGCGGGTCGGCGCCATCGAGCGCTTGATCGGGCTAGAGGCGGAAGAGGCGGCGGAGCAGCACGCCGCCGGCCAGCCTAATCGCACGTACGTGCTCGTGCTTGGCGACCAGGACGAGGCGGCAACGCGCGTGATCGAGCTGCAGCTCGGCTCGGGGGTGCGCGTCCACTCGAAGGTGACGCTGCTCGGCAGTTCGTCCTGCGCGGGATGCTCTCGAGCGAGCTGCTGGCGACGATGGACGACGCCGTCGGCATGATCGACTTCGAGATCGGCTCCAGGGCAGACCGCTTCATCGGCGCGCCCTTCTCGTCGTTCTCGGTCATGATCGCGCTCAAGCGCGCGCGGCGTCAGCTCCCCGAGCCGCCGGGGAGCCGCTATGACGTGACGCTCGCGCCCGACGAGCACAGCCCAGGCACGCTCATGGCGGCGGGCGCCGACACGGCCGACAAGCTCGCGGCCAACTTCGCCGTCGCCTTCCCGTTTGCCGCCGCGATCCCCGAAGACCCGTGCAAGGAGCTCGTGGCGTTGCACCCGTCGTTCGCCAAGGCGGGGCTCGCGAGCTGCCCGGTGCGGACCTTGAGAACCTGTCATCCGGGCCCGAGACGAGTCGGTGCCCAGCAAAGGGGGCCGCTGTACGATGATCGCGGGTACTTTTGAAGTTGGTGTCTCAGTGTGATGTGTGTGTATGTGTGTGTCCTGTGCGTGTTCACATTGGAGCCACAGGGGTGTCGTGCTGGTGTCGTGGGCGCGGGACTTACCCTTTTTCGCCCGAGGCGCGAGGGGCCTTCTCCGCTTTTCCCTAAACTTTTTGCCGCTTCCGAGCTTCACCCCCCGCGCGCCCTGCCCCTGGCGCCTGGGCGCCTCTCTCGGCGACCCCCCTCTCGCGAACCCTGTATTGTACTTTTTTTAACAGTAGCAGTACAGTGTCCCTTGCGCCTCTTTTGGCGAGCACGAAGGTCGAACGGTCGCACGAGGGCACGTCCGATCGGCGATAAAACACAGTATACGCAGCCAATACGCCTATACACTGGTTGGGTAGTAGTCTAAGTTCTGAGCCTCGAGGCTGGACGGGTCTAAGTGTGGCTAGCCACGCTGGAGTGCTTGCGCGGTCTAAGATCAGCGGGAGCCTCTTACATCGGCTAAGTCGGCCGTGGCACGGCCTGGGGCCAGGAGGCTCCCACCGTGATCAACGATACGGCGCAGCCCCCAAATTTTCTTCGCCTGCGGAGGGCGATGGATCCTCTTCATGCTTAGCAATCGCCGCCTCAGCATCCTCCTCTTCCGATTTTCGTTGCTGCTCCTTCATTCTTGAGCGACGTCTAGCCAAACAGTTCTCACATGACACGAAGCTCCTCAAGCTTAATCAAACGCGTGACGGTGAAGCCTGTGTGTGCTGGTCCTCTTTGAACGATCCGCGCGTGAGGTAGCATAGGGCCTTGTTGGCAGCAGCCAGCTTGTTGCGCTGCTTCGTTGCGATGAGCTGATTGGGATCGCAGAAGTGCATGCCAAGCACCGCCACGATCTTGAAGCAGAACACATCGCAACCGCATCGTCCGCACTGCCATCGGCATGCCGCGCCCGCCGCTTCGCCGCAGCCGCCTTAAGGCACGCATAGCGGCAGCACATGGTGGGGGGGGTACTTGAGCAGGCGTTGCGCGCCGCAAGTAGCGCACTGGCCCTGGGAGAAGGCGATATGGCGTCGTGCGCGGCATACGCGGCATACGTTGGTGGGACGCGTCCAGGTATTTCTTTCGGGTAAACCTGGAGGCTTTTCAGGTATACCCGGGTTTTGCCCGGAGTTGGCCTTATGTCGTCTAAGTTCATGGCCCCCGACCATACAGCGTCTAAGTCCGAGCCCGGCTCCGTGTGGGGGCTAAGTTGAGCGCTCGCTCGCTGCAGAGGCTAAGTGTAGAGCGACCCTCTAGCCCTACTACCCAACCATTGCCTATACGGCCGCCAGACGGCCGCGCCAACGCAACTGAGTAAACAACAAACCCAAGGATGTCAGAGGTCAGAGGTGGGTGATTCTGATTGGGACATCGGACATGCTACCGAATGTCGGGTCGAACGTCTAGGTCGACCAATCTGATCTGCTCCCCTCCACACAACCTCAGCCCGCACGTACCATTTTGCCCTGCGTTCTCACCAGCCCGACCCCCTTGGCCGCCCGGAGGTGCTTGCGGAAGAGAGCCTGGAGCTCGGCCGGGTGCGCCCGCCACCAGCACACCTCCTCGCGCGCCGCCTCGGGCTGGCGGGAGAGATGGCGCAAATAGAGCCGCAGCACCAATTTCCGCAATCGCTTGCGTCGGAGGCCAGCCTCTCCGGCCGTCTCGAGCAGCGCGCGCATGGTTTCCCGCCATTCGAAGTGCGCGCCGTCCGCGTCCAAAGGGGGCGCCCCCGGGGCGCCGAGCGCCGAACACTGCGCCCGCTTGGCCCGCTTGGCCCGCTTGGGCGGCGCCTGGTCGGCCGGCGGGGCGGCGGGCCGCTTCCCAAAGATCGCGTCCAGCTCGGCGGCGTGGCTTGCCTACCGTTGTCACATCAGAGAGAGGCGAGGTGAGCGCCGAGCTGTGAGGGGCCTCCGCCGCCGCGCGCAGAGGCGCGCCGAGGCGCTGGTCCGATCCACCACCTCCGCAACCACGGCGTCCAGACCTCGCGGGTCGGTCGCGCTGCCGGAGCCGATGCCGCCCGCGCGCAGCGCCCGCACCACGCGGGGCATGTCGACGCCGGTGTCGCGCTGCACCTTGCGGCCGGGCTGCAGCGCCAGGCTGCTGTGGAGCTCCTTCGCCTTCTCGCGAGAGCCGACCACCACGCGCGCCGAGCGGCTGAGCATGCGCCGCTCAAAGAGCGGGAGCGCCGCGTCCAGGCCGGCCAACGCGCCGTGCTCGCGGACCCCTTGCACGAGTGCCTCTGCAAGCAGCACCTAAGTACCAACGGCGTCGCGCACGGCTCACGCACCTTCCCGTGGCGGCGGCGGAGGAGCGAGAAGCGGCGGACCGCGTCACTCAGGGCTTGGTTTGCGCCTTGCGCCTTGAAGGGCGTCATTGGATGCGCCGCGTCGCCAATCAGGGTGACGCGGTCCTGCGGCGTGAGGACGCCAACGTCATGGTGTGCACACGGTCTCCTGCTGTGTATGCAGAGCAGCGCAGGAACACAGGGGGCTACGAGTACCGAGAGTACAGCCGAGTGCAGCGGAGTGCGTGTCCTCTCGAGGAAGACACGGGTCCGTCCTCCGGCATCTAGGGGCGCGGTCCTGCGGGGCAGGCCTCCCTGCAAGGCCTGGCTTGCCAGCACCCGCGCCCGCACCCGGCCGCAGCACCGCCGGCTCGAGCACCTCTCGGTCGTAGACTGGGTAGCCCGACATGCCGTCGAGCGGCGTGTCGGCCTGAGGCGCGCGGCAGGCGACCGCCGGGGGGAGAGTCGCGAGGCGCGGATCGGGAGCGCGCGAAATCGGTGTGTGTGTGTGTGGGGGGGGGGGTGTATGCGGGCTGAAGGGGGGGCGGGGTGGGATGGATGCGTGTGGTGCGGTGGGTTGGTCCGGGTGAGTGTGCAGCGGTGGGGGTGGGTGGGGGTGGGTGGGGTGTGGGTGGGGTGTGGGTGGGGTGTGGATGGGTGGGGCACCAGCAGGGCCGGGATGGGGTCGTGCCACCCCCGGCAACGGCTGAGGAGTTCGGCCTTGAGGGCGGCGGCGTCCTTGGTCAGCGTGCGCGCAGCCTCCTCGGAGCAGGGGAAGGAGAGCTGCCACATGGTCGAGCTGGTCGTGAAGGGCATGGCGTAGAGACGGGTGGTGCCGTCCACCGTCTCGAAGATGCGGCGCTGCGTGAGCGGGACGGAGCCTACACAGGAAGGCTCCAGGAGACTTCTAGGAGAGGTCCGGGAAGATGCGGCGCCGCGTGGAGCGGGACGATGCCGTCGAGGATGCCGAGCACCACCACAAGCCCGACGTAGTGGAGGCGGTCGCCGGGCATCTGTTTGGTGCGTGTGGCGTGAACGACGCCGGGGGCGAGGGAACGGGGGGGGGGGGGGGGGGCGTGGGGCGAGTGGGGCGCGCGCGTTGCGCGTGCGGCGAGAGAGAGCGCACCGCGAGCTGCCGCCGCACCGTCGAGAAGATCCCGTCCGAGCCCACGAGCAGCGCCTATTCACAGCAGGAGGTGTGAAGAGACGCTGTTCACAGCTCCCAATGGTTCGAGCCGACGGCAGCGCCGCATCGAGGGTGGTGCCGTCGGCAAGGGTGACGGCCACGCCCGCCCCGCGTCGGCACTCGAAGGAGCGCAGCTTGCTGCCCCACCGGATCGTCCCGGGGCGGAGCTGCTCGACGACCTGTTCACAGTAACAGCTGTGAAGAGACGCCGCTCACAGCTGGCGGGCGGAGCTGCTCGACGACCCTCGCGCGCAGCTTCTGGCGCGGGATGTGGATGAAGCGGCCCGAGGCGTCGCTCTCGCGCCGCACCTTGCTCTTGTCGCCGAACGCCTCGCCGAAGAAGCCGAGGATGGCGCCTAATCATAAACAGTTCATGATCAATGCTTAGTAATTCATGCCTCGCCGAAGAAGCCGAGGATGGCGCCGTCGGCTGAGAAGGTGTAGTGCGAAGTGGACGGGGCGTCGTCCTGCGCCAAATTGATGCCCATCGCCTGCCACCACGCGCGGTTTATCGGTGTTGCGCGGCGTCGTGCGTGCGAGATGGCGCGGCATACGACGTGCGTGCGTTCGCGTGCGTGCGTGCGTGCGTGCGTGCGTGCGTGCGTGCGTGCGTGCGTGCGTGCGTGCGTGCGTGCGTGCGTGCGTGCGTGCGTGCGTGCGTGCGTGCGTGCGTGCGTGCGTGCGTGCGTGTCAAGCCGTTGGATGGTGACCCCCTCTCATCCCCTTCCCTTCCACCTGCATTGCGTCCTGCCGTTGGATCGTGAGCCCGTAGCCTACGTCATGAGTGCACCGACATCAGGGCTGGCAGACACGGACACGGCTTCCGCTTCTCGTGCCCGTAGCCCTGCTTGCGCGAGTCGAGGCTCGCGTCAGCCTCGAGCACCAGCACGTCGAAGCCTCTGCTCTGCAGCGCCACCGCCACCGCCGCGCCACCGATGCCGCCGCCCGCGACGATGATGCGGCCGACGCCAGACACGTCCACCGCCCCGTCGCCTGCGTCCGCCGCCGCGGCAGCGCCCGCCGCCCGCTTGCGCCGCTGCCGCAGCTTGCGGACGAGCTGGCGCTGGCCTGCGGCGGAGAGGGGCAGCCGCTCGAGGCTCTCTTTAGGGGGCCTCTCTCTCCGTCTCGCCTGCAGTCGCGCGGCGGACACTCGAGCGGACACTCGAGCGGGACGATCTCGGGACGATCTCGGGACGATCTCGGGACGATCTCGGCTCAACCTCTCGGCTAGTCCACGCGCCTGCGCGGGAGAAGGCCCAGTCGGCGTTGTCGAGCTCTTCCGCAGTGAAGTCGGAGAGGCGCGCCTCGGCGGCGCGCGCGAGGGCGGCGAAGAGCGGAGCGTCCTCCACGTGGCCCGCGTTCGCAAACGCCCACGCGAGGTTGGCGAGATCCGCTGCGACAAAGTCTGCCGCACGCTCCGTCGCAGACTTGGCGAGCGCGGCGAAGAGGGGCGGGTGCGCCCCCCCGCCCGCCTTGGCGAAGGCCCAAGCCGTCTTTGCGATGTGCGGCGCGCTCACCCCGTCGAGCCTGTGGGAGGTGTGGCCGAGATGCAGCCGAGCACAGCCGAGGTGTGGCCGAGGTTTCACGAGCTGCCGCACCGCTGCGCCGCCAGGGAGCGAGCGATCGCGCGGAAGAGGTCCGGGTCAGGGTGGCCGAGCTTCGCGTACGCCCACGCCGTGTTGACGAGGTCCTGCGCGTTGAACTGGCCGATCCGCGCCTCGGCGGCGCGCGCGAGGGCGGCGAAGAGGGCGTCGTCGGGCCGGCACGCCTTGGCGAGCGACCACGCGAGCTGCGCGAGGCCCTGCGGGTCAAACTCTGCCAGCCGCGCCGCCGCAGCCGCCGCCACCGCGTCGAGCAAGGCGGGAGAGGAGTGGCCGGCGGCGGCGAAGGCCCACGCCAGGGTGGAGAGGCCCTGCGGCGTGAAGCTGGGCAGCCGGCGTGCGGCGGAGGCGCCGATCTGCTCAAAGAGCGCCGGCGAGGCGTGCGCCGCTTTTGCGAATGCATACGCTGTGCTCGCCAGGTCCTGCGGATTGAAGGCAGAGAGCCGCGACAGCGCCGCCGCCGCCACGGCCTCAAAGAAGGCGTGGGAGGCGACGTCGGCGGTGGCAAAGGCCCACACGGTGTTGGCGAGCCCTTGCGGCGTGAACTCGGCCAGGCGCCGCCCGGACGCCTCCGCCACCGCGGCAAAGAGCGCGGGCGAGGAGTGTCCGGCCTTTGCAAAGGCGTGGACGGTGTTTGAGAGCTCCTGCGGGTTGAAGTCGGCCGCCCGCTTCTCGGCTGCCGCGGCGAGGGCGTCAAACAGCGCCGACGAGCGGTGCTCGGCTCTCGCAAAGGCCCACGCGATGTTGGCCAGCTCTTGCGCGTTGCAATCCCCGATGCGGCGCTCGATTGCATCCGCCAGGGCGGCCCACACCGCACCGAGCCCAGCCGCCCGTCCGCTCTTCGCGGCTCCGTGCGCGATGTTGGCCAGCTCGCGCGCTCGAACCTCGGCGGAGGTCTCGGCGACCTCTGCCGTGGTTTGCGCGAGCGACTCGAGCTCTTTCGCGTGGCGCTGGAACCAAAGCGGGTCGGCGCCGGCCGCAAGCCGACCGAGCGTGTTCCAGCACGCGGAGAGGTGAATGTGGTTGAAGCGGCCGAGGTGGGCGGTGACCGTGCCAAAGAGGGAGTCGAGGGTGCGAGCATTCTTGATGTTTGCGGTAAGGAGAGCCGGACTGGGCGAACTAGTTGAGTTGCTGCTGGGTGGACCACGGCCCTTTCCTCGACCGCGGCCGCCGCGGCCACCACGGCTATCGGTCTTGGAGGCAGCGAAAGCGCCGCCCGCCATATACACCAGCGGCACAGTGGCTCGTGGATGGTGGTGCGCTTGCTCCAGCTGGGTTCCGGCTCCTACCCAGATAGGGGATCTGTCGTCCACGACTCGCACCAAAACGCCCTACCTACCTACCTATTGCGGGCGCCAATCGCCAGGCTCCGTGCCCCACCTACCTACCTATTCCCAGGCCGCGCAGCGAAGCGAAAAAATACCCGTTAGCCCTCTGTGAATACCCGTTAGTCTCGGCTGGCGTCCCAGCCGCAGGCGACTCGCCTGGCATGGCCCCGTTCCGGCTAACGCGCGGCCCGTCTCCCGCGCAAAAGAAAGGGTTTTTTTTTTTCCCCCCCCCCCCCCCCCCAACCCACCAACCACAGCCACCACCACCACCTACCTACCTATTGCGGGGCCCTCTTAACAACCTCATAACAGCTGTTATGTGTCCCCGGATTTTTTTCTTCTGGAGCCCCGCCGCGCGTATCCCGGACCCGGTGTTTCCTGAGCCCTGGTCTGACAGCCTGACAGCAAGCCCCGGACAGCGCCTGACAGCGCCCGACAGCCTGACAGCCAGGGCTCAGGGTGTTTCTTCGCTTGTAAAAGATTTCTTTTGCGTTTTGGAGCGCCCGCCCCGCGCCGCGTAGCTACTACCCCATCCAACTTCACGCAAGTTTAACTACTAATCTTGTGCGAGTGCAAGGCTTGCTCGCAGAAGATTAGTGCTTAAAAACGCGAAAAGTAAATTGCGTGAAACTGGGAGGGGGGGGGGGGGCTAGGGGGGGGGTCTTGATTGAGCCATCTTATTTGACTTGAGGGCAAAAGAGAAAATAGTCGGCGATCGATGCCGAACCTCGCGAGCAGTTCGGTGTGGCCTCTCGGGCCATAACACCGTGGACCCGGGACAGCTCTCTCTCATAGCTGGTTATGTGGCTGTTATGGGGCGGCGGCCCCATAACAGCCATAACACCCATTAACATGTTATGGGCTGCTATGCCCAGAGAGTCATAACACCATAACAATAGGAATTCGGTCCCGCAGCTCGCGCGGATCTCCCTCTCAAACGGAGTGGAATATTCTAAAATATGGATTCATATGTTGGGATGTTAGAGGTGAGTTAAGAGGGAGATGAGCGCGAGCTGCGGGACCGCCGGGACGGCGGGCGGGTAATTGCGACGCGCCGCCACTTTTGGCGACTTTTGGGACGCGCGATCGATCGGCCGAGAATCGACATGAATTCCTAATATGTGTCCGGGGTGCAGCAGCCCCAGATAAGCCTCTCTCAGGATCACAGACACCCCTCTCAGGATCACAGCACCGGCGGGGGCGCGCCTCAGGATCAAGCACCCACGGCAGGGTCTGTGGGGTGTGGGGATCAGCAGACCTGGAGGGAGGGGGCACACGCTGAGGATCATAGGCCTGAGAGGGATGCTTTCAAGATCACACGCGGCTGCGAAGGGTGGCACTCGAGATCAGAGCGCCGAAATAGGCGCGCGGGAGACCAGCGGGCCGGAAGTGGGCGCAATACACATCACGGGCGCCGAAATTGGTGCAATTTACATCATGAAACCGTCGCGCCCAATCACGTGCGCTGGACCGGTCGCTCATGCGCGTCCTGTCGCTCATGCGCGTCCTGTCGCTCATGCGCTTGTCGCTGGGAGGTGGCGCCGGGCTGGCCATCGGCGCCGCTCGCGCGCTCGGCGCCGCCGAGGATGGATGGCAGTCGTGACGGCGGCCGCAGTATTCGGCGTAGACCGCGCGCGCAGCCAGCGCGCTCCGTGTTTGCCTTGAAGAGCGCAGCGACGAGTCCGTAAGGAGCGGCCCCAGCTTGCTGGGTGCGGCGCCGCCGCGCGCCGTATCGCGCGTATTTTTTTCTCACACAGCCAGATGTCCTTCGCGCGGCGTTTGCTATTGATCGCTCTCGCGCAGGTGTTCGCTCCTGTCATCGGCTTTGGCTTCACCGTCGAGGCCGGCGGGAAGACCTGCTTCGACGAGACGGTGAAGTCGAGCGAGCGAGTGAGCGGCGACTGGCGGGTGATCTCTGGAGGCGTTCTCGACCTCGACGTGGAGGTGCCGGCCTCCGCCGTATCCATATCCACACGCCCCCTGCCCCACGACCCCCGTGACGTGTCGTGATCCCGCAACCGCCGTCACTGCCCCCGCCCATCACTTGCCAGGTCACGAGCCCATCGGGTGAACATGTTTACTCAGCGGAGCGCGAGGCGGCCGGCTCGTTTGCCTTCTTCGCGACCGACTCGGGAACCTACGTCGTGTGCTTCTCAAACGCGCGGGCGACGCAGGCGGCGCGTGAGGTCTCAGCCAAGATCACTGTGGGCGAGCAGGGCGACGGGGTGGAGCTAGCCAAGGCGGAGCAGCTTGCACCGCTGGAGGACCGCGTCAAGAGGTTGCACACGTCGATGATTAGCGTGAGGGACCTGCAGGACCAGCAGCGTGAGCAGGACGAGGAGCGGTATCGCGTCACCTCGCAGACCCGCCGCTGGCTGCTCTGGTTCACCGTGCTCGAGGCGGTCGTGCCGCGAGTTGACGCCGGCAAGAGCATTCCATCTCACCGGTCACCGCCCCCCGTCCAGGCGTTTGTGCTCGTCGCGGTCTCGCTCTGGCAAATCCTCTACCTCAAAAGCTTCTTCGAGGTCAAGCGGGTCGTCTAGCCCGCCGCGCAGGTCTCGACGGATTTCCGATCAGGGGCCGGGGGGGCGCGCGGATATGCGACGTCAAGTGGGGACCGTTGATTTATTTTTTGTGCTTTTTCTTGTGGATCGTCTTGGGCTTTTGCGCGGGGAGAGGATTCTCACGGGGCGTCCTCTGCGTTTGCGCTCGTCGCCACGCAGCCCTGCGTGACGCGCGCACAGCTCACGCACACGACCTGTCGGTACACGCGGGGTGATGCTCCAATAAACCCGCCGGATCTTCGACAAAAGCGGGACATTTCTTTTTTTGGAAGGGTAGGTGTGAATACAGCTTTCTGGTAGGGTTACATCGACGAACTATGCGGCAATCGACTGGGGGGCAGCCCCCCGGCACATCCCGCGCAGAGACCTGGATGTAACCCGATTGTGAGCGTGAGTGAAACCGCCGATGCGATTGCTCATTGCTCAGTCAGTGACCGACAGTCAGTCGCAGCAGACTTTGACGATTGGCGGCCTCGCGCCCTCAGTCGCCCTCCTCTACTAACGGCCCTGCCCCAGCCCAGATGCCTCATCCAGGGTGGTGCAACCACTCGCGCAGGGAGGGAGAGACAGTCGGCGATCTGCGCCGCGCAGATGAGCTCCGCCTCGTCTGCGTCGAGGACGTCCACCGCAGGGCTATCATAGCGCCATATGACGTACTGCATGTTGTTCATTACTTCGCAGGTGCCAAAGTCGAGGACAATCTCACTCAGTGATGGCGACGGCTGCACTCCCGGCTGGCGGTAGGAGAGATGAAGGCTAATGTACTTGGCAGTGTACGGGGCCTTCCGGCGTGAACAGTGCCCCGGGACGAAAGAGGAGGCGACGTCTCTCTCGTCCACGAGCGCCTCGATGTGCGCATCGACGGTGTAACCAGCTTTGAGAGACGGGAACGAACGGCGGTGAATCGCCGACAGGTGCGCCTTCGTTCCTACCACCACTCCCACCACCGCCAGCTCCGCCGTGGACCTTGCCGGGCCCTCTGATGATGTAGTGAGCAGTTCGTCCGAGCCGTTGTTGTACTCTGCTGTGGCGCCAGCTCGGTGTACAATACGGACGAAGACGGCCACAGCAACGGTGTAACCAGCGCGAGCAGGCAGCGCGAACCGCTGTGCCTCGGCGCGCCGGCCGCCGAAATCCTCTCAGAGTTCTTTGGCATTAAAGTTTTGTTTAAATTCTTTGGCATTAAATTCTTTGGCATAGGGGAACCCCAACCCTAAATTTTCTTCGCCTGCGGCGGGCCATCACTTGGATTCGCTGCTTTCGGATTCATAGCTCTTTCGCACGCCTTTATCCGTCACTCCCCCGAAGATTGGAGGTGTTGATTTATGCACAAATCTATGTGTTGCGAGCGCTAGATGGCGAAATTTTCTTCGCCTCCGGCGGGGCCGCTCGCCGCGGGGCTAGAGGGACTTTTGTCGATGTCGGCTAGAAGTGCTGCACCTTTTTGAGAATTTCACCCCGCGGTACACGGTGTCGTCCGGCACCGCGGGGGCACCGGCGACCGGGGGCGGGGCGGCGCGGCCCGCGCGGGGCCGCGCGCTCGCCCGCGGGGGAGTCGGGGGGCGCGCGGCGCGCGCGGGCCGCGGCGCGAAATCCGAAAAAATCCGAGTGGCGGTTCTCGAGAATCAATGTGCTTGCTTGCGGGGCGGACAGCCCAGGAGCGTGCTCCTGCGTGTGCGTCCTGGGACCTCTCTCTTCCGACTTCCCACGATCCCAGTCCGGGGGTGCGTCGAACCTTCCATCACCCTGGGAACGTCCGGGTGTTGGAAGTAAAGATATATTACTTTTTTTCTTGTCTAAACAAGCTCGGACAGCACAGGGAGAGAAGAGTATCTCAGCGACAACCGATGTTGAGCAGACGCACGGCAATGCGAGGCGGAGAGGCGGGCGAACAAGTGCGCCTCCGCCGGCGGTGCACGGGCGCCCACCGTCGCACCACACACACTCCGCACACGAGGTGGGCATCCTCCAGTGTGGAGGCACGCCCGCCTCCGCCCACCGCGCCGCCGCGCCGCCGCGCCCGGGATCGTCTAGTTGCGGTAGCCGCGCGACGCGCGCCGGCCGCGCGCCTTTTCGAACTTGCGGCCCTTGGAGCGCACGTAGGGCTTGACGGATGAGTGCGGCACGCCGGGCGCGCCGAAGTGCTTCGCGGACTCGCGCCGCGATTTGCAGCCGCGGAGCAGGACCGTCCTGTTTGGGGGGGAGGGAAAGAAGGGGTGGGGGGAGGGGGCGGCAGCTCCAAGTGCGCGGCCGGTGCCGAGGGCGGCGGCGGGCAGCGGCGGCGGCGGGAAGGGGGCGGGGGGCGCGTCGCACCCCTCGCCGAGCGGAGACTTGAGCGCCAGCTGGTCCAACGTGAGGCACTCACCGCCAGCTTTGACAATGCGCGCGCGCGCGGTCGCCGTGAAGCGCAGCGCGCACACCGTCAGCTTTGGCACGTCGAGGAAGCGGACGTCGTCCGTCACAGAGCCAACCACAACCGCAATCTTGCCCTGCCGCGGGGAACGGGGGGGGAGGGGGGGCGTGGGGCTGTGGAGACAGCGACCAACCCCTTTGCGATTGACCGTCGTCTGAGACTGCCGCACCCCCCCTCCCCAGACGCGATCGACGGGGCGCAGCACGATGCGAGCCATCCGCACGATGCGAGCCGTCCGCACGATGCGAGCCCGTCCGCAGCCCTCCGCCGCCCGCCCAGACGCCCCGGCAGCACGCCGGCCGGGGCGTGAGCCCCCCTTCCCTCCCCCCCCCCCCCCTTGCACCAGCTGGGAAGCGGGCTGGAGCGCGCCTCATTCCCCTCGCGCGCCATAAACTTGGCGATAGACTTGATCGACATGGGCGGCCGGTTCGTCTTGGACGTGAAGAGCCGCTTCAGCACGACCTGCCCGGTGCAACAGCGCGCGGCTCACAGCACCACCGACGCTCGCAAAAACCACACGGTGCGAAGGCTGCCGCGGCGGCCGCGCGGCTGGGTGGGGCGGGGACGGGAGCCCACCTTGTTGAATTTGGCGTCCGTCCGCCTCGCGAGGAAGCGGTACAGCTTCACGATCAGCCGGAGGTACAGATTCTCGGAGACGGGAGCGGTGCGGCCCGACTTCTTGGTGGCCTTGCGGCCGCCAGCCTTGATGTCGATACCCATGGGACCGACCCTGCGCGCGCGGGCGAGGCAGCAAGTCGGTGGCCTGTCCCTCGACAAGGGGAGCTGGGAGGGGCGAGGAGGAAGGGGCGGAGACCTAGTGGCACGCGGCCGACGCGTGTTTCTTTTTCTCTACTTTCCGACAGAGAAAAGCGCAAAGGCGGCACGGCAATTCGCAAGCCACGCAAGAGCGAGAGAGAGAAGATGGGATTTCATGTTGCTTTTCAAAATCTCTCTTTCTCTTCTCATCCCGCCACGCCAGAGCGCAGAGGTCTCTCTCTCATCTCTCTCTCTCGGTCTCGCGCGCGCGCGCGCGGTTCTCTCTGCTCGAACGTGCTCGAGGGAAACACGCGCATATTATACTCGACACAGAGTGCGCGGATGACTTAAATTTTTAAGCAAGTGTATAAGTACCCCACCGGACACAGTGCCGAATCCAACGCCGTCCCTCGGCCGTCAACGAGTCGAACGCGGAGCTGATGACGCTGCTCTGCGCCTCTCGGACATTCTGCTGGCGCACTCGCCCGAGCAGCAGCGGCAGCTCGCCCCCTTGGGTGGGCTCGTGTGGTCCAAGCCGAGACGGTGACGGGAGGCGTCGTACGGTGATCTCAGGCCCAGTGAGGTAGTGCATCTGACTACCCCGGATCCTGCTGAACAAGCTCCTCTTGTAGCTCGATCGGTCACACCGCCATCGCCGCCGACGTCTCCCAGGGAGATGATGGAGAGGGGGGACGACACTGCTCGATCTACCCTCTGGGGTCCCTCAGCAGCGTGCACCTCGATCCTGTACCGTGTTTGTTATGACCCCCCCCCGATGAACACACCAGTGAGGGAGGGCGAGACGATCGAGGGGTCCCGTACCATGCGGAACTGACCCTATCCAGTGCTCAAGTGCTCAAGTGGTCCAAGCGACAGCCCACAACGCGGTTCTTGGAGGCGCTGCAGCAGCGGGCGCTGCACCGGACGCGACAGCGGGTCCCCGCGATTGGCAGCGACCGGGCGTGCAGGAGGTTGTTTTCTGCTTACTGACATGAAGTGTGGTCACGTACACGTTAAAAAAGTAGACAAAGTGCGCTCGACCAGCGATCAGCTCCCTCTGGGCCTGCCCTTGCGGGGATGCCACCACCATCGCGCCCCCAGGGGATATCAAGAGGCCACTCAACGAAGTCGAAGAAGCGGCATCGCAGTGATCACCTGCTCAAGAAGAGCCCAAATCACTGTGAGAGTCGTGATTTCTTGTTGGTTAATAAAAATCTCTCTCTCTCCTGCTCAAGCTAGATCTTCCGCATCGGTGAATTGCCAAGCGGGGTTGTCTGCGTTTCCTTCAATTCTCCAAAAAGAAAAAGAATTGAACAAGACAACTCTCTCTCACAGACTCTCTCTCACAGAGTTGACCATACCCCCTACCCCTTTGGGCGCGGAATTTACCATACCATACCCCGGAAAACTTTTCACTCAAGACATAGTACTTTTTTAAGGTGCTCGTCGATGAACGAAACAAAGCGGGTAGTCGGGTTCTTCTTTGCACAATGTTGTCGATCTCGTGTTTGACTCCCGTGGTGCACATCCCTGAAAATGCGCGCCCTTGGGCGCCGCCGCAGCACGACCGGATGTTGCCGTCGGCGTCCTCGTCAGGCGGCTCCAGGCTGAGCGGGGACCGCTCCAGGACGAGCTCGAGCGCCTGTGGCTCGCGAAATCAGTAACCAGCCTCCGGCGGGGCCCCCCGCTACCATCCAAACCCGAGTACCGGTCATAGATAGAGGCTGAAGTGTGACATAAGTCCACACACATACGATACACATACACAAAGCAACTCTCACGACACACGGGCACCGGGTGGAGCGGCGGCGGCGGCGGCAGCGGCACGCGCGGGCGGACGGATTCGGACGGGGCGGAGCAGCGACCGCCTGGGCGGCCGCTGCTCTGTCTGCCAGAGCGCGCCGTCTGCGCAGCTCCGAGCGCCGTCAGGTGCAGGGAAGCGTGGCGGCGCGGGGACGCGCGGCGGCGGTGGCGAGCAGGCGAGCGGCCCGCGCGCGGCGAGGCGGACAGGTGATCGGCAGGCGGGTGATGGGCCGGAGAGTGACCGCGCCCAGCGATCGGAGGCGAGCCGATCGTCGCTCGGCCGCAGCTGACCTCGAAGGCGTGCAGAGCGCGACTGTCGGTGTCGGAGGGCGGCCGTCATGTGGCGAGGAGGGAGGACGACAAGTGCGCGACGTACGGGTCGCTCTTCATCGGCCAGTCGAGCGGCACTCAAGTCGAGACCGAGCATGGGCGACGAAAAGCCGGTGGGGCCGGTGGGAGGTAGGACGAGATTCGTTTCGCGCTTTCAAAAGCGGCTTCGCGCGCAGCGCAACTTTGGGTTTGCCACGAAAAGCGTCCCCAGTGGAAATGGGGGCTACTGGGGCGGCCAATTCACACCTCGCGGGACTACTTATGTTTTCGTAAACGTAGTTGTGGCCCCCCGCTACGTCGCACGAGTGCAACCGGGTAGCGGGGGGCTAAAAGTTCCGTTTCACATGTATTGCACTTCCAAGAGTTTGCTTCCTTGCTCACCCGAGTCCCCGTGTTTCTCTCCTCGTTGTGCATCTTGCCTGTGATCAAGGCCGCTTACGGACCCAGCCAGCAAATCGCAATCTTCACGGCCAACAAGGCAACGCTGGAGCCAATGCGCGAACTGATCGAAAGAACGTGCGCTGTGCAAGTTGGAGAGGAGCGATTCGTCATTGTGGACTGCAAGGATGTGCCGGGGTTTGAGGCCGTTGAGCGAGGCGAGGCGGTGGATACACTGAAGGTTGAGCCAGGAATGGTCGAACTGGCGAAGCGCGTGGTCTCGAAGCACCCTGTCGTCGCTATTCTGATGGAGTGTACCGAGCTGCCACCGTACTCGGATGCCGTGCGCGCGGCCACTGGCTTGCCGGTGTGGGACGCGCTTAGCTGCTGCGACTTCTTTGTCGGCAGCATGAAGGACAACGACCGTTGTGGCATGGCCGATTGGCAGGAGGAGTGGGACAGGGAACAAGACTGGTACAAGTTTGGGCACGAGCTCAACACAGAAGAGCGTGGCAGGCTGGAATCGTATTTTTCGCAGTCTTCTCGACTGTCGATCATAAGATAGAAGAGTAGCAAGCTTTACTCACAGTGCAGATGACTTAGTTAAGCAAGTGCAAGTAAGTACCCCACCGGACACAGTGCCGAATCCAACGCCGTGTGGGGGTGTGGTAGGGCTCTTGGGCGGGCAGGACCATACCCCCTACCCCTTTGGGCCGCGAATCTCGATCGGTGTGTTGCGGGTCGATAAATAAATAAAAGGTTCCTAGCCCCCTCCCCTCTTGCATAAATAAATAAATAAATAAAAACGGACACCTCTCTACTGTGAGATGGGTAAAAAGGAACAGGCCCCCGCCCTTGCGATCTTTGTGCAGGGTTCTTTGTGGGTGTGGTCGGCGACTAGCCGGGGTCGTCCTCCCGATGGGGGACTAGCACTAGCCGTCTTCCACATGGTCCCTCGGGTCCCTGCTGCTCCTAATCTCTTCGTACATCCTCCTGCTGATCTCCGCAAAGTCCTGCTCCCTCCCTCGTCTCGCCCTGCGCGTCTGCTCCGCCTCACCGTCTTCTGCCCTGCGTCGTCTGGCGACGGGTCCTCCATAGTCGGTCGAGGTCGCCGCCCTCCTCGTGCCTCTTCCCAACGTTCCCTCGGCGGCCGATGCCGTCTGCTCCGGCTCCCCAGTCCCCGGGTCTCCCCTGCTCTCGTCTGCACTAGCTTCTGCCTCGTCATCACTGGCGCCTCTCCTCTTCCTTCTCCCCTCTTCTTGTATGCTTTGTACATCCTCTTGCACACAACAGGAATTTTGACAATTAACCAGATGACTGATGGGCCTGCCCATCCCGGAGTGGTTCGACCCCACGCAAACCCGAGACGGTGATGGGAGGGTCGTGTGATGATCTCAGGCCCAGTGAGGTAGTGCATCTGACTATCCCGGATCCTGCTGAACAAGCTCCTCTTGTAGCTCGATCGGTCACACCGCCATCGCCGTCGGGGAGAGGGGGGGACGACACTGCTTCGGCAGCGTGCACCTCGATCCTGTACCGTGTTTGTTATGACCCCCCCCAATGAACATACCAGTGAGGGAGGGCGAGACGATCGAGGGGTCCCGTACCATGCGGAATCGACCCTATCCAGTGCTCAAGTGCTCAAAAGGTTCCTCATTCGATGCCGAAGGCGCCGTCCTCGCTCTCCTCCTCCTCGTCTCGGGCTCGTCGGGCAGCTCCAGCTCGTCGAGGTACGCGGAGTAGCGCTCGCAGATCTCGGGCCTCGAGTTGTTGTTGTTTTGTGGCGTTGGCCCCGTTCGCGGCTAATTGCGCCGTCTCCCGTGCAAGCGAAGCGGTTTTTTACCCACCACCTACCTACCTATTGCGGGGCCCTCTGGGGCGGTCAAAACCGGACCTACCTACCTATTGCATAGGGTCTAACCGTGGTGCACAGACCCCTACCTCATGTATCGGAGTTATGGCACACTTAAGAGCTGTGAACGTGAAGAGAGTGGTACCAGAACTGTGGGTCGTTGCGGCACGCATGGGGGGCCTCCCGGACGTATGATCCTAACCCAATACGTCCCACGGAGCACATTTCGATTTTTGACAGAATTAAATGCACTGCCCCCGCACGGTACTAATAGTCGTAGTTTTGGCACCGCTGCCCTTCACGGCACCACACCGCCGCTTGACAGCCCGGGATTAGCCTAGCAGCGAGTGGGCATCGCCTGCCGGTCGGCTGGGCACGAGCCAAGCACTTGGGCGGCCGTCAACCGAGTCCGAGCGGCGCCTGAGGCGGGTGCCACGGCGTCTGCACGAAGGCGTGGCGGGGTGAGGAGCCAGGAGTGGTGAACACCTCCCCGTCGGGCGCGCGGCGCGCCGGATGGTCCGCCGAGGCCGCCGCCGCCCCGGCGGCGGCGATGGGGGCGGCGGGGCCGACCCGGCCGGCGTTTGTCGGCTCCACCTACAGAAGAGCAGTCTCTGTGGGTCGACGATACTAACTCGGTAGTAACGCGGAGCGGTGCTGTGCGACGCCGCGTCGTGCGCGAGGCGACCTCCTGAGGCTACCTGAGCTGGCAATGGATGCCACCAGGACGCACGGCTAGCAGGAGCCAGTCGGGCATGCCCTGCTGTGGAGCAGAGCCGGCTGGCGCACCGGCGATACTAACTCAGCGCGCCGCAAGAGGCGAATCTGGGCGACTTTGGAGGCGCAGTTCTCGAGCTTGCCGTCGACGATTGATGTCGGGTAAATTGTCACTGCCGTCGGGGAAGGTCTTCTCTCAGCAGGCCGAGCGCCGTGGCCTGGCTCGGCTCGCCGGAGTCGCGCGAATTTATGTATGTAAAGAGTGAATGCAGAAGATCGGACAGGGGAGGGACGCGGCCAGAAAGAGGGCGGGCGCCGAGGTTCGAAAGCCGGCGCTTTCGCGCGTTCGAAGGGGCTTTGCACGGAGTTTGTGCGAAATTTGCGGTTGGCCTTCGCCCTGCGGCGAGATGGCACCGCAGGCGGCGTGCGTGCACGAGGGCGGCGGCGTCGAGCGCCGAGCAGCACACCACGAGCGCGAGCGGCAGCGCAGACAACGCGAGGCAGCGGGCGGCACGACCGAGCCGGCGGCGGAGGAGGCGATGGACGTCGAGGCGGTGAGCGCCGCGGACGTGCTGGCCGGCGTGGAGGAGAGCGGCCCGAACTACGCCCTTCCGACGGCGAGGGAGGGCCAGAGGGAGCGGCGGGAGCGGCTGCGGGTGGACGAGACGGCGAAGCAGGCGGGGCACACCATCGTGGAGACGGGAACGCACGTCGAGATCCTGGGCGAGCAGGGCTTGTGGTGGCCGGCCACCATCGCGGGGCGGGAGGAGGACGTGGACGGCCGGCTCGTGCACGAGGTCGAATACGACGGCCACCAGGGCGAGCAGTACTGGCACATGCTTGACGACGAGCAGTGGCGGCGCGCGACCGCGATGCCGACGCCAGCCGACGGCACGAATGTGGCGGCCTCCACCGAGGGCGAGGAGAGCGGCGGCGAGGAGAGCGGCGGCGAGGAGAGCGGCGGCGAGGAGGACGCGGTCGCCGCGGGGACGCGAGCGGGCGCGCATCGCCGCGCGACGGCCGTGCAGCATAGCGAACTGGCCGACCTGCTCGACGGGATGGACGACGAGCGGCAGGAGGAGGCCATGCGGGCGGACGATCAGCCTTTGCTGAGGCCGCACGGGCCGAGCCTGTCGCGGCAGCTGGTGTACGTGAGACGCCGGCAGCGCGACTTTCTCGCCCAGCAGGCGAAGAAGGGCAAGGACGTGGCCATGTCGCGGACCTCGCGCGGCACGCACCCCACCATTCGCTGGACGATCCGCTTCGGCCAGTGGCTGGCGACGACGCGCGTCCGGCCGTTGAGGGCAAGCCGCTGGCACCTTCCCGTCGGGAGTGTCGCGCGAGGGGAGGAGGCGATGGTGCGCACCGGACGCGGCGAGAAGTCTGTGGAGGTCGCCCTCAAACACATGAAGAACCACCTCTGGTGCGAGCTGTGGCCTGCGATGCCAGCGGCCGGCACGTCGGAGGCGAGGCAGTACTGGAAGTCGGTGAGGGACCAGGTCATGTCCTTGTTCGAGGGCGGCGGCAGCGGGATGAAGATGCTGGCGGAGGAGGCAGGGAAGGCGGCGGGGCGAGCCGCGGCGGCCGAGAGCGCCGCGCGCGGGAAGAGCGCCCGCCAGCAGCGGCTGGCGAGCGCGCAGGCGAGCGCAGCGGCGAGCAAGCGGACGGTGGAGCAGCTGAGCGCGGCGACGACCCACCCGTGCGCGAAGCAGCACCTGTACCAGGTCGGCGAGTACCAGCTGCAGGACGTGTCGCTGGCGGAGCCGTTTGAAGCAAACGTGGCTCACGTCGTGTGTGCGTACTTGGGAACGGCGAAGGTCACGGGCTGCCGTCCCGGGATGGCGATGAATGACGCGAACGACCTGGCGGACGCCGACAGCCCCTGGCACGAGCTGCCGCCGCTGCAGATGGGCGACCTCTTCATCACCATGGACGAGGTCGCGGGGGAGGGCGAGGCGGGCGCAGTGCGGATGGAGGGCGATTTTGAGGCGCTGAGCCGGATGGAGGTGACGTTCAGGCGGAAGAAGGGCGAGTACTACGCGAAGTACGAGTTCGGCACCTCGCTCACGCCCGACTCGGACCAGATGATTCACCTCGGCACGGTGGCGATGCTGCGGCTGCTTGTGCGATGCGGGAGCTTTCGGGCGTGTTATGCGCATCTGAGCCGCGCCGGCGCGGCGGCGCTGCGAAGGAAGGTGGCCGATCCGCGTGGCTTTGCGGGGCTCGAGATCGAGGACACGGGCTACGACAGCTTCCTGTCGCTGGTGAGGGCGTGTCGCGAGGACGGGTGGGTGCTGGACGAGGCCGCGCTGGATCGGCCTCTCTTCCCCGCCGTCGACGAGGCCACGGGCAACTTCCTGTTCACGGAGAGCTTTCAGGTGCGGCGCATGTGCAGGCGCCTCATCGAGACGGGCGCCAGGATTGGGATGAACAAGCACAAGGTCGGCGCGTGGAGTCTGCGCAAGGATGCGTGCGAGCAGCCGGCGGCGGCGGGCGACGGCGAAGTGGCGGCGAGGGTCCTCGGTCACCGGCAGATTAACTCGCGGACCATGGACCGGGTCTACCGCGCCGACCTTCGGACGCGCGACCTCGGTGCGTACTGGATGCGGCGCGGCGCGCTGGAGAGCGTCGAGCGGGCGCCGCAGTCGGCGCTATCGGCGACGCGCGTTCCCGAGGCGAGCGGCGTGCGCGGCCTCGCCGACCTGCCCGCGGACTGCCCGGAGCGCGAGGCCATGCGCAGCTGCGAGCGCGTGGCGGCGGCGGACGCGGAGGTGGAAGGGGCACGTCGCGAGCTGGCGGCGCTGCTGGGCGTCGCGGACCTGCCGTGGGGCTCCAAGGCGAAGGCGCGCGCCGCCGGCCACGGCGACGCGGCGGACAGGTACGAGGCCGCGCGGGTGCGGCACTACAATAGGACGCGTGAGGCGCGCGAGCGCGCGGTCGAGGAGTACCGGCTGCGCATGTACAAAGAGGGGCTCCAGCGGCTGCGCACCACTCCGTCG